TAGAAGCACATGTGACATATCAGTAACCTACCTGTCTCATGTCTCTAGAAGCACGTGTGACACATCAGTATCCTGCCTGTCTCATGTCTCTAGAAGCACGTGTGACATATCAATATCCTACCTGTCTCATGTCTCTAGAAGCACGTGTGACATATCAGTAACCTGCCTGTCTCATGTCTCTAGAAGCACGTGTGACATATCAGTATCCTGCCTGTCTCGTGTCTCTAGAAGCACGTGTGACATATCAATATCCTACCTGTCTCATGTCTCTAGAAGCACGTGTGACATATCAGTAACCTGCCTGTCTCATGTCTCCAGAAGCACGTGTGACATATCAGTAACCTGCCTGTCTCATGTCTCTAGAAGCACGTGTGACATATCAGTAACCTGTCTGTCTCACGTCTCTAGAAGCACGTGTGACACATCAGTAACCTGCCTGTCTCATGTCTCTAGAAGCACGTGTGACATATCAGTAACCTGCCTGTCTCATGTCTCTAGAAGCACGTGTGACACATCAGTAACCTGCCTGTCTCATGTCTCTAGAAGCGCATGTGACATATCAGTATCCTACCTGTCTCATGTCTCTAGAAGCACGTGTGACACATCAGTATCCTGTCTGTCTCATGTCTCTAGAAGCACGTGTGACATATCAGTAACCTGCCTGTCTCATGTCTCTAGAAGCACGTGTGACATATCAGTAACCTACCTGTCTCATGTCTCTAGAAGCACGTGTGACACATCAGTATCCTGCCTGTCTCATGTCTGTAGAAGCACGTGTGACATATCAATATCCTACCTGTCTCATGTCTCTAGAAGCACGTGTGACATATCAGTAACCTGCCTGTCTCATGTCTCTAGAAGCACGTGTGACATATCAGTATCCTGCCTGTCTCGTGTCTCTAGAAGCACGTGTGACATATCAATATCCTACCTGTCTCATGTCTCTAGAAGCACGTGTGACATATCAGTAACCTGCCTGTCTCATGTCTCCAGAAGCACGTGTGACATATCAGTATCCTGCCTGTCTCATGTCTCTAGAAGCACGTGTGACATATCAGTAACCTGTCTGTCTCACGTCTCTAGAAGCACGTGTGACACATCAGTAACCTGCCTGTCTCATGTCTCTAGAAGCACGTGTGACATATCAGTAACCTGCCTGTCTCATGTCTCTAGAAGCACGTGTGACACATCAGTATCCTACCTGTCTCATGTCTCTAGAAGCACATGTGACATATCAGTATCCTACCTGTCTCATGTCTCTAGAAGCACGTGTGACACATCAGTATCCTGTCTGTCTCATGTCTCTAGAAGCACGTGTGACATATCAGTAACCTGCCTGTCTCTAGAAGCACGTGTGACACATCAGTAACCTGCCTGTCTCATGTCTCTAGAAGCACGTGTGACACATCAGTATCCTACCTGTCTCATGTCTCTAGAAGCACATGTGACATATCAGTATCCTACCTGTCTCATGTCTCTAGAAGCACGTGTGACATATCAGTATCCTGCCTGTCTCATGTCTCTAGAAGCACGTGTGACATATCAATATCCTACCTGTCTCATGTCTCTAGAAGCACGTGTGACATATCAGTAACCTGCCTGTCTCATGTCTCTAGAAGCACGTGTGACATATCAGTATCCTGCCTGTCTCATGTCTCTAGTCTCTAGAAGCGTGTGACATATCAATATCCTACCTGTCTCATGTCTCTAGAAGCACGTGTGACATATCAGTAACCTGCCTGTCTCATGTCTCTAGAAGCACGTGTGACATATCAGTAACCTGCTTCCTGTCTCATGTCTCTAGAAGCACGTGTGACATATCAGTAACCTGCCTGTCTCATGTCTCTAGAAGCACGTGTGACATATCAGTAACCTGCCTGTCTCATGTCTCTAGAAGCACGTGTGACATATCAGTAACCTGCCTGTCTCATGTCTCTAGAAGCACGTGTGACATATCAGTAACCTGCCTGTCTCATGTCTCTAGAAGCACGTGTGACATATCAGTAAATGTCTCTAGAAGCACGTGTGACATATCAGTAACCTGCCTGTCTCATGTCTCTAGAAGCACGTGTGACATATCAGTAACCTGCCTGTCTCATGTCTCTAGAAGCACGTGTGACATATCAGTATCCCTCTAGACAGATACCCACACATCACCTGTGTTCGCTCGTGTTCCTCGAGGTGGAAATGTTAGCATGAGTCTCTCAGAAAAGAACTGATCAGTTCTTTTTTGCGTTCTTAAAAAAGCGTTTTCCTTTATTGCGTCAGTAAGATACATGTATGCTTCTACAGGTACTGATGGACATTTCCAGTTCGTCTTCACAAGTGACGGGTCCGTAACTGATGCTGGATTCCGTATAAACTTCAACTTCACTCAGACCGATGTAACCACATCCCCACTTCCAACACTACCAGGTACTGGGTCGAAGAGAGCTGAGTAATATGTCTACCTCGTGGAGATATGTGTAATTTGTATTCCAAGTTCTACGTGGTATAAGGAATCAGCAACGACCCCACCAGAGTTCGTGGTGATATTGAATCAGCAATATTCCAATAAAGTTTTTGGGCCGTCTTATGAATCAGCAATACGCCCACCATGGCGTTGAGTCGTGCAAGGAATCACCAATACGCCAACCAGGGTTTGGGGTACTGAATCAGCAATGAGGCTCCAAGTATTGGGTCGTATCAGTATCCGTATGCAAAATCTTTGTAACGAAAATCTGAGTGGCTTGTGATTTTCGTTTCCGTCTTTGTTTTCATAATGAGAACCAATGCGTTCTTACCGTCACATTGAGACTATCCTCATGTGTGATCGACACATATTTCAACATTTTATGGGATTTCTTCAAATACTTAGCTGCTTTCTCAATCCTCTATGTCATCACTGAAGTTGATTTCACAGCTAGATAAGACTTTCAAATAATAATATGATATGCTATTTTTCATAAATGCCTAAGTGCATGTTTGACATTACTTTTCAGCAACAACCATTCCCCCTACCACTGAGCCTATCACGACATCACCCGCTGAGCCTGGTGAGTCTTAGTTTGTCTTGGAGTGGCAGTGACTGCCTTGGTTCGTTTGTGTGTTCTTCCCGTCTGAGCCGCCATAAAGCTGGAATATTGCTGAGTGCGGCGTTAAACAACAATCAATCTCCCTGTTTGATAGCCAGGCAAATCATGTTATAAAGCAACACTGAACCCATGACACATTTGATCTGACTTTGTCTGTTCACGAGTTCTTAAATAGTCACCAATAATGATTCTCCTGATATATGTTCTTCTTGTCTGTACAAAATGTCTCTAAAACACAGTGTGTATTATCAAGTGATAATCCAGACACGCCGTGATGTAAGTGGAATACTGTTCAAAACAGCGTTAAACCCAGCACACTCACTGATGTAACAATTTCTGTCTGCCGTCTCTTAATGACAGAAACCTGCAACCAAGTCCTGACATCAGATAATGGCGCCCTGACAAGCCCCGGCAACGGCAGCTACGCCAACAACGAGCACTGTTTCACTGTTATCACAGGCCCCAATACACCATACACCTTGGTCGTCAGCTTCACAACGTTTGACCTCGAGTCCTCATCTAACTGTAGATACGACTATCTTGAGGTTGATACGGGCCTGGGTAGCAGCCAGAAGGGATGTGGATCAAGCTGGAGGAACAGAACAGTGGAGTGTCAGTCTCACACAAATGTTACATTTTACATCTAAGATCTGGTACACTGTTGTAATTAGAAGTTAAATACCATATCATCAGACAAAGGGTGTACATCGACTTGAAAGGGCGTTCCCCCTGTACACATTGTTAAAGAGGAGGTAACTCTATAGAAGTCACACGGTTCCTCGTTCTCTACTGTATCAAGTACAATGTCCCTTTTAATACACAGACTAAGATCAGCTGAGCAAATACAATAATGGGTGAGTGAGTGAGTTAATATTTAACGTCACATCGGCAATATCTCAGCCATATCGTGACGAAAACAATTTATACAATAAAAAGTTAAATGAGAACATGTGACATTGAAATGGAATATATGTACGTTATAAAAACCTGTCGACGAAGGACAGTAAAACAACTAGAATATCACAATTACACCTAAAACTAGTGTGGAAAGTTAAAACTGATAGCACTATTTGGACAATACAATATAAAAACAGGCTATAGATCAAATACAATAATGGGATCTGTTCGTCTTCATTAATTATGGAAATTATCAAACGCTTTGAAACACAAGAATTACATATACTGAAATAAATATATTGAATATACTGATGCTTTCAGACACATCGGATGGCGGTAACGTTACACTGACGTTCTCGTCTGACTCCAGCCAGACAGGAGCAGGATACGCTGCAACTTACACCATTCAACCACGTAAGCGACACTTGTTTAGTCTTTAAACGTCTTACACTCCAGCAAACTTCATAGTTAAAATTCATTCATTCACCAATGGCTGATGTGTTTTTGTTGTCCTTGCCCTGTCTAACTATCACGATAACAGATATTTCCTAAGTGTATCGCATGCGAATCTCTCTTGTACTCATTTCACTGATCCGGGTTTCACACGTCATTATTTGTACTACAAATACACGAAGTCTCAGTCGAACGTAAGGAAACAATTTTTAATACCCATCAGACTGTAATGATCTCACTAACATTCATCATTTGTAATGTAGGTTTAGTGTCTGTTTGGATGTTTTACTCTGAAGTTATTTTTTAGCACAGAGATATTCAAATTCTATGGTGACAGTATGTAAATGAGCTGGAGAAAATAATCAAGTAATCATCATGATGAGCATGGATCTGGGTTTTGAAATTCGGTGACACGCATAAAGCAAGTCTGTCAAGTAACGCCTGTTCAACCCATCGAGTTAGTCGCCTCTTACCATAAACATAGCTTTCGGAAAGCCAGTTCTGACTCTGATTCTCACTTGAAGTACTTGTAATGAAGATGTACCGTCCTGAATAATGAAAACCATTCCATGCACCTAAGAATTGATTAATTTACTTATCATGAACCACATTTACATTTTGTGCGATTCAGGAGGTGTTCCTTCCATGAATAATGGCGAATGTACATACATCAACACCAACATCTCAGAGGGCGTTATCCAAAGTCTCCCGGGTACCGGCAGTGACTACCAAAACAACATGGACTGCTCTTATGTGTTCACTCGCAACACCCCCTTCTACCTGAACATCAACTTCACCGCCCTCGACACAGAGTCTTCAAGCAACTGCCGCTACGACTATGTCCAGGTTGGGGATGACAAATACTGTGGAAGTGATTTGCCCAACGCAACCAGAGGTACGAGTCCTCGAACATTGTCAGTATTTTCCATTTGCTTGTTGTATGAGAGAACTTTGTGACCAAGGTAAGTGCAGCAGATATTATGACTGCAATCAGATATTCAGGTAAAATACATTCTTGTATGCCATGAAGACTGTAAAAACAAAAGCAGGTGTTTACGTTGTCAATAATATCCTTGACATCTTCCTAATGACCTTTACGTTATGATATTTTTCCTTCAGTGTCCGTGCAAGGTGGATCAGCCATAATCCGCTTCAGAAGTGACAGCAGTAATACAGGAAAGGGTTTTGTGGCTTTGTTCAGTATTGAAGAGCGTAAGTATTCTTTGAGTGTGAATATACAACATACATTAAACAGGCCAGGACTGAGGTTACTGAAACATCATACCATGGACACCCCACGAATACATAGTAAACAGCCCTTGTTTTTGATGAATGCCAGTAGCAACACATGTCCTTTTAATCATCTTTTGATACAGAATATCGCCTTTGTCTCTCAGAAAATAGGAATGAATTTCATATTTGCTAACATACCAGGCACAAGTGAAGGGAAACTATTGTATCATGTTATTGATGCCACTTCAGCTCCACCAAAAGTGTTAACATTTTGGAGCATAGCTTCCATGACAATGTCCATACCTATAACCTTTAACGACCTCCAATCGGTGTGGGATATTTTTCACGTCAATAATGCGTTATGGTTACGGATCCAGCCATATAGTGAAGGGTATATATAGTTACGAATGATTGAGGACGTAGCATATTTGGGATTACAAACTATTTGGGATTACTAAATTGTGTATCTGTAATTAAGGAGAAAGTCTGAGAGTCGAATCCAATAATTTCTACATTAAACACACATCCCATAAGGTTTAGAAAAGAGGTTCTGTGTATCGCATTTAGGCGTTCAAGTCTTGAAGAAGTATATTTTCTGATCACGTTTCGTGTGATCTGCTTCTTTTTCAACATGTACTGAAATTCCAGACTGCAACTTCGACAGTGATGATCTTGAGGGCACCTATACCCTGGCCACTGATTCCGAGGGACAATACGAAAACAACCAACACTGTGACATCACTATCCGCTCTCCTCCCACCCCTCACATCACCACTGTCAACTTTACCCGTTTTGACATCGAGGACGATACAGGCTGCGACTATGACAGTTTGACAGTGACAAGCGACGAGGGCACCGAGAAACTGTGTGGAGCTAAAGAGTCCTTCATCCGACAATGTAAGCTAGTCTTGCTATGGTTTTAAATTAACTGCAGTTAATCATTGCTGTCCAATTGTTGCACTTTAAACACATATTTCTAAGACAATTGATGGTTCTATGATTCTAACATGTTCCAAATGAGCATTCATGGTGATTATGACAGTGACATAACAAACGAGTAAAATGTTGTTTGGAAAGTCTTTGTTTTGAAATACTTTTATGCTTTACTCTTTTGTAGACACCGGGCAATCAGTTGACATGACATTTACCAGTGACGGAAGTGTTGTGCGTAGCGGTTTCACCTTTAGCTATGTCACTGAACTTGGTAAGTAACTTTATGTTATCTCAGTTTCATGTCTGCGTTATCACAGGCTTTAATGTGGCTCATCTCATTTTCGCATTTGCCTTATCTCAATTCTACATTGAAATTATTTATTCCTCTTACTGCTCATTATCAAACCATATTTCCCAGTTATAATAATCGCTGAATAACGTGATGAATCACACCTATTTCAGTCTACTGCAATGCAACCATAAACGGCACCACCGGTACCTTTGAGTCACAGCCTGGTGGTTACGGCAGCCACATGTACTGCACCTACACCATCAACACCCCAAGTCCTGGAGAACTTCTTTTCAACTTCCCATTGTTTGACGTTGAGAGAGACAGCAGTTGCCGATATGACGCTGTGGAGATGGGAGGAGACAAGCTGTGTGGAACAAACATCGCAGAGAAGACGTACAGTGAGTAGTACAAACATATTACCCATAAGGAAGAGACCGATTCACATGTGTCATTCCCCAATGAAAAGGATTTTTTTCTGTATTGTACATGTTTTCTTCAAGTTTTATTAAAACGTTGTCTTCTCTGGAAAACACTTTATCCACTTCGCAAGGGTGTTATTCACCTTCCACTGTTGGACACATTGTGTGTTGTACACATATGCAATGTGCAGTATTCAGGAAGTAGCGGGAAGTCACTGTTTGTATCTGAATGTCGGAAAACACATGGGCAACTGTTTTAACGAGTGTTTCTTACCACAGTCTCATACTGGAACTTATAAAAATTACTATTGATGTAATATATGTGTGCAAGTTAAGAAACGGACAAAATATATCAATTCCATTCAGAAGTACACATATTTATTCAGTCACATTTCCCTCTACTATAAAATTATGGAACGATCTATCCCTATCGAGTCCCTCGAAACTGTTTGAAAACCAAAACCAAAGTACAAACTAAACGCGCGCCTTCATATATCTCCTGCAGGTTAAGAAAGTAGAACACACTGATGACAAAATTACGCTACTTATGCTCCCAGTTAAATTAAGCCTTATTTTGGTTTAATAATGTCTCTGTGGTTATCCATGTGAAAAGGATTATCACTACTTGATATAGTGTTGACGGTAGTATACTGCCGGAAATGTCACTACAAAGAAAATGTACAGTTGTATCACACTGTCCATATATATATTAATCAGACAAAAATATATAACTTAATGTGACACCCTGTTTCCTGCTATACGTCTCTGTTTATTCTCTTTATATAACTCTGCCCTTTGTACATATGTATATTATGATAGTGAGTGAGTGAGTGAGTTACTATTTAACGTCACATCGGCAATATCTCAGCCATATCGTATTATGATAGTGTATAAGGACAATCATGTTAATGTTGTTGTTTTCTTTTTCGGGAAAGAGGGCTACCTCAGCTGTGAAACCTGTTCTCAACCCTTTTCCGTGTGAATTACATACGTTTCAGTACAAAAACACTTAGAAGGTTTCAACAATCGGTGAGTGTTGTACTGACGGAGGATCTGTGAATCTCAACATTCCCTGTTTGTTTACCAGACAGTGTATATTTGTGGCAATTTTTTGTATTGTACCGATTGCACCATTGGTTGTTTCTAACGGGCATTTCCCTTTTTCTAGGTACTGATGGTCATTTCGAGTTCGTCTTCACAAGCGATGGATCAGTAAATGGAGAAGGTTTCAAGATAGACTTCACTTTCATCCCTCAGAATTAGGTAAGAATCTGACCATTAATATATGTCTTATTTATCGCGATCATTACAAGGGTCAGATTTACGCAAACGTTCACTGAATTCGAATCTCAGTTTACCCGCCCTTAAAAAAAATAGGTGATGGCGGTTACTTATAATTCCCCCAAAACGAGGCCATCGCAATTTTGATTCGATTCGTGTCAAACGGGGTTTCTTTGTGTAGTATTTCAGTATTTCAATGATTATTTTCGCTGTCGTTACCTTTGTGACTGGCAGCCATGTTGCTGCTATTGCTAACCCACCACCGGTTTTTAACATTAGACGGAGTGAGTAAATGTTGCTGAAAGCTGCATCAGCAATTTTGCAGCTATTCGCATCTACCATAAGACGAAGTAGCGTAGTAAATCATAATGTATGTTTGAAATCGCTAATGCTGAAGGAATGAATCATTGACTTGGTGTCTGTTTAGGTTGTCCACCCTGTCATTGAGCAACTCACCCTACTAAGTTAGATGAGGTCGGCTAGCTGTTACGTCTCTTATGTTTAGACCAGACACTTCTTTGAGAAAGAGGGCTGGAGATCTCATAAAGTTATCTATGTTGCAGTTCAAATGTAAATAGAAGTTGTCCAATCATTTCCATAAACTTCATATTACCGTTCATCGGAAGTCAACTGTTGAAGTTTCAGCACAAAGTCAGTTTTGTATTTTGTCTATGGCCTTTTTCCCTTATTTGCCTTGATCCTGAACCCGTATTGCCACCGTCCTATCCTTTCGGTTGAGTAAGAGTTGATTGATAACTTGCCATATGTCGTGCGAGTAGTAACTAACATAATTATTGTGCAATTGCATCAATTGCCACATTTGGATTGTTTGAATGTTGTTATAACCAGATGAATAATATGCGACACACACACACAGACACACACACACACACACACACACACACACACACACACACACACACACACACGCACGCACACGCACATACACACACACACACGGCATTTACTTATTGAAGTCAAACCTGCCTTCACTGAAATTGATACATGTTTGTTTTGGTTACAGAGACACGAGTGCTTCACCACGAGATGGATGACATTCTCAATAAACCACTTGAATGATAATCATATTATGTTATTTCTTTGTACAACGATGAGCAAGCAAGAACCAGAGTCTGTAATATTCAAACTATTTGTCAGGATCGTTTCTAATGCGTGTCAGGATGAGGAAGAATCAACGTTAAATATCAACATAAACAGTACATAAGTTATCAACGACATCATTGGATCAAAGGTTCTGATATATTAGTACACGTTTACATTTTAGCATGTGAACACACAATTGCAATAATGAACAAAACAAAATTGGACAGCATGATACACTTCAGTTATGTATCATTCAACGTGTCAACACTTAACATTCACGACGATAGTTTAGCGCAAAACAGAACACTATGACGTATGGAACAACATTCGAACAAAGAACCCACCATGACACAGTTTAGTTATGCATGGGTCATACAATATGAGGAAGTGTGGAGCAGATTGACATCATACATGCTCTGGTTATATTACCCACATACGTACAATGGCCATTTCTGGGTTCCACGTCCGTAGACGTTAGAAAGTAAAATGTAACAGTAATTGAACACCACATACCTGAACACCTTTTAAGTAGAGAGTAAGCATTTCATTTCTGATACACATATTTTTACATTTTTAGAGAATTACCAAAAATCATGGTTTGATTTGTTCGTGTGCCAAAATAATGCATGAACTTTAACATCAACATTTATGAAGGATTTGTTCTGCTTGTGGCTTCAGCAGGTAATGATAAGACGTTGCATTCAACCTCCAGGCTAGGGGAATACACAGGGTACAGCATTCTGCTCGGGGAATACATACGATACTTCATCCAGCTTCAAACATGGGGGATATACAGGAAACAGCATCGAAAATGGTTTTGGTTTGGTCTGTTGCTTTACGCCGCACTCAGCGTAAAGCGGCGGTATGTAAATTATCGAGTCTGGACCAGACAATCCAGTGATCAGCAGGGTTAACAGTGTTGTTCTCTTTCTATAATGGTTACTGAGAAAATCTGTCCCCATTGAGGATAACGTGCACTAAGTCAAGAAACGCATGACAACTGTCATAACTCTGTAACAAATTGTAACACGGTTTCCGTTTTCAAATTCCGTCAAGGCATTCACGTCCTAAAGACATATACCAAATATGGTTTCCCTATTTGTAACGGTTTTTGAGAAAATCTGTCCCCATCATCTCGGACGGACGGAACTCAAACATATATCCCCCTCCCACTTTGTGGCGGGGGATAATTGCAAGTGAACATCACAATGTACGTCATTATTGATGGATGGACCTGTGAGGGATGTAGCTGTCTTTATGCTACATGTAATCCATCTTACAGGTCACCTGTCTGTATTTATGGATATCTAAGCTTGGCTGTAGCAGGTGAACCATCTACTGGATGCAGATGTTCAAATAACTTTTCTCTTATATTTAACTGTTTCGTCAGGTTCTCTTGATGAATAGTTTGTGTAGCATGGCTAATTTCTTTTGGCACTTAGCAGGTGTTTGTTGTGTAAAAGTGTATAAAGGCAGATACGTTTCGCAGCATCTAGCACATGCAACATGAATGTTGCAGGCACGATCTGCTTTGTTCTGGTAGTGAGCCTTCTCTTGACTGAAGGCAGTACTTTCAATGTGAGTATATTGATTGTTTCAGTGCATGTAGAAATAGGTACTTTGAGAAAACTGTTGATTCAATAAGAACGTCCAACGTTTTAAGGATATTTAAGGATCAGTTTTGCTACACGACTGACAGTCTGTGTGTAATATGTTACTCAGATTCTTTTAATCAGAAATACTAAAATAACGCATTGAGAGGTCTTACCAGGCTTGCTGGAGTTCTGTTGCAAGCTTAGAAATGTAATTTTATATGCTGAGCATTGTCCTTTTCTGGTTTTAAAGAAGGTGATTTAAGTGGAGGCATTTGGGGAAATGGGAAATGATATTTTGGTGTGATGTTCTGGCACGGGTCATTTTCGTGCATTTAGCTACAAAACCATGAAGGTTGTCATTCGTGTTTCCTTTGCATGATAGATGTCACATCAAGACTCAAAGTGATGTCTTGATGTTTACATAATATACATACTAATGTTTGTTGTTGAGTATATCATTTACTTCTGACGGTTGCCACTTTTTTTACAAACGAAAACTATTACAATTAAAGGATTTCACTGGAATCGAGATGGGCTAAGGTGTTTTAACAATATTAGTGTGGGCCAATGCGTTGTGCTCAAACTGGGGATGTCTACGTATTTATTAAGAAAGTATGGTTGAGAGGAATGATTGTGTGATTAAGCACGTCATTGTTTTTGGTTTTGATACAAAACGTCCAAACACGTGGGAAACGACAAACAGCGGGCATGTCATATACTATTTCGTTAAGAACTGTTTGTAACTTTTTAGCACAGGGAGTCATAAACTCGAAATACATAAAAAACACATTAACCTATATAATTAATTAACCCATCTTCAAAAAGGACACACACAAACATGCGTGCGCATCAAGTCAAAACATTGATTGCACGACAGTCTCGTTTCCTGCTGACTGGGTTCCGTCCTATTGCACAACTTAGTACAATAACCAGTCCAGAATTTTGGGACCAATTCATTCAACTGGATATATAAATATTAATCAGTATTATTTGATAGATCTAAGCACTTGTATATTGCAACACTACGCCCCTTCTAATCCTTGCAAACCGTCGCGCAGCGTGCCCTGTCGTACAGCGTGCTCTGACGGAAATCTGGAAATCGTGGAAGTCTCAAACCGAGGCTCGGCCGCTAGAAAAGTTCGGTGGTCTGGTACGGACTTGATATTATATCAATCACATTGTGCGTTACAACAATAAACGCAAAAAACACATAACGGGAGTAACCAGTGAGCCAGATGAATTGTGAATCGTGTTACGACCTCATCAAACAGGAGCAGTCTGTGATGTCTTAGTTAAGGTCATGGTGCCTAAACCTCGCCATAAAATATAGAAATACGATTTTAGTAAAGATTAAAATTAAAATTCATTTGTAAATACCATTTTCTTTTGGAACAAGGAATTGGAATTCAGTGTAACCATAGTTCTTTGTAGTGTCTCTTTTCACTTTCACACGAGATAAAAAAGTAGGTCATTGTCTGAATAGGCTAATGAGACTCATGTTTTGGTTTGACTCATACCCATGGACACACAATCACTTTAAGCAGCCAATCAAGAAATAACAAATGCAAACACATTAAGTGTTTAGGCAATCAGATGAAATGGAACTATCTGCAATTCATTTACAACAAAAAGTCGAACTGAGAAAAAGAACAAGCAAAAGAATAGTCTGTTGACGTGGAGAATATAATTGACATCACCCTTCTGTGATGAATCAGGGAGGAATTCGCGTCTTTACACAACAACCACTTTGTTTTCCTGTTTCCAAGACGCCTCTGTTCACATTGGAGCCCAAACCTTTCCCATAAAGGATATGTTATTTCGAAATAGTGATGTCTCTATTTTCCAGATCTCTAGTTTCCAGGGGGCGGTGGGGTAGCCTAGTGGTTAAAGCGTTGGCTCGTCACGCCGAAGACCCGGGTTCGATTCCCCACATGGGCATAATGTGTGCAGCCCATTTCTGGTGTCCCCCGCCGTGATATTGCTGAAATATTGCTAAAAGCGGCTTAAAACTAAACTCAGTGAGTCGGTCTAGTTTCCAGATTGTCATCTATTACAACTATTAAAGCTACTTAATTGCGTAGACCTATGTTCATGGTATTGATCACTGGGTTGTCTGGTCCTGATTCTATTATTTACAGAACGCCGCCATATTGCTGAATGCGGCGTTAAACAACAACCAAGGACAAACTTAACTTAATATAAATACAATTTTCATGATCACGTGCTACGAGTTGCTGATCCAGAAAGAAGGCAATATTTATTTCTTAGCTGCCCATCGTTATT